AGGCTGGGAAGAAATTAACTGAATGGTGGATAGCAAAGACTATGGCTGCAGCTGTGGGACAGCAACATGCTGCTGGGTTTGCAGTGGGTGTCAGACAACACTGTGCCAGATGGAAATGTTTGTATGATAAAAGCAGGACCATCACTGCTAACAGTATGAAGGTGTGTTAATGTACTTCTTTGTTCCTGATGATTTGGCTAGACCAAGAAATTGCGTTAGTTATTTTCAGTGCTGACTTGTAACCTGTGAACCAGCACAACCAGTCCCTCTCTTCTGCCATCGTTTCAAGCAGATATTCTTCATTCCATTTTAGTCACTGAAGTCTAAATGCTCTTGCTTTTCTTTCTGTATAGTAATTGGATTCTCAGTCATGTTAGCAATATTTGAAATGCTTATGTTGTCACCGAAGCAAAACCTAACAATTATTTTTACCATGGCAGAAAATAGAAGTTCTAAACAAAGTAAGCCCTCAAGGAATATCGCCACTGGTAATATTTTTCCATGCCAGTTGTTTGCTGTGAGATATAACACCCATGTGTTAACTAAGGAATTTCATCAGAGAAAGATAAGCTAGTATAATTTGATTTACATTTGGAATAATCAAGGTTGCATTTTCATTCTTCTTGTCTTGCAGTCGCTGGTTATTCCTGGTTGCTCTTTCCCCTTAACGTAAGATAATAAAAAGCACGAAGTCACGTTAACTGAACACAGGCACTATGTGTGGTGTCCAGACTTAGGCTACTATCCAAGGAAATGTTTTATTTATGGAGAATCCCTGATCCTGAGCTTGCAGTTCTGATATGTAACTCATTTTTTTTCAGCGTTCTGTGATGGAAATATTCAAAGTAGATTCATTTCATTCTAGCAGTGGATGTGGTAATTTTCAGTGCTTTGTCTTCTTTCCCGTGAGGTATTCAGTCTTTCTCCTCATATGCAGCACTATTCTTACAGGAAAAAAGTGATGCAAAATGCTAATTTAATATTTAGATTTCTTTCTGGTTTCTACCCCTTATTGACACCAGTTCTCAGTTTCTTGCTCTTTCCTATTGAGAAACTTCTTGTTTGTATTTAATTTTCTCTGTGAGTTCCCATTTTCCTGGCCTCCTGGCAGTTTTAATTTCATTTCTACAGTCTGACCTGGAAGTGACAGCTCCTTGCTGATAAGTCCCTTTTTCCATTCCTTGTAGGTTCTCTGCTTTCTCTTAGCATCCTGCTTTGAGGTGCATACTCATGCAGGTAGGTCTGTAGCCCTTTCCTGTCCTCTTTTTATCTTTACTTGGATTGAAAGCTCAGACAGCATTTGATTTCAAGTAAATCTGTGCCTTCTGTTCACTCAAACTCAATTGTGTTTGTGTTTCGTTTGTCTCTGAATGAAATTTTGTGGTATGGCCCATCAGACAAGAGGTGGGATTGCTCTTCAGATTTCAAGACAGAAGGCTGAGGAGGTTTGAATTGCCTTTGGCAGCACTTGTGCTGCATAGGCTGTTACAGATGGGCTCTTCTTTGGATTAAACCATGGGAAATGGTTTTAAAAACTGGCATTTAGACCACCTGAGCCAGTTTTTTTTTTCCCCCTTTTGTTGGATATGTTAATGCAAATGCTTTTTGATAGAAGTTCAGTGATTTTTGGAAATTTTCTGAAAATCTTTGAAAGATTTGCTTCTTTTTTGGAGAAAGTATTCTGATATCTCTTTTCTCTCCCAATGTTGAGAGACAAACTTACTGGGTAGCTTTTCTTTTGAAAATGCATGTGTTAGAGGCCAGTATACTTGTCCCTTTCTCCAAATGGCTGGGAAAGCTATTGCAATGACTGCAAAGCCTGCTTTTTGGAGCTGCGGTTATCACTTCTGAGTCTCCACATTATAAGGATGAAAAGGCTGAATTAATTACTAGAGTGCTGGCAGTTTTAGGATAGTCTGAAATATTCATATGTACATCGGTGTCATTGAAATCACGTTCAGAAGGCTGTAGGCAGGACTTTGGCTATAAGCCTATGTATAAGTTCCTGTGAGGTAAGGCAGTATGTGAATTTACAGGCTGTCAGCTACTTGGTGCACAGCACCCCATGAGCATGTTTGTACCATATGGCTGAGCCACAGAATTGCCCAACAGTATGTGAAGGCATTAATCTGTGCAGATGGACACAGCTGAAGTCTTGGGTCCAAGAATCAGCGCTGGAACTTGGGGCTGGGCCTTGGTGTGCCTTCACCAATCTGAGGAGTCCTCAGTTAAGAGTTCAAAAGAGCTGCCGGGGATTTCTTTGAGCTCCTGATGTCAGAACAGGGCTCAGAGTGCTGCCTTGTTGATTTTAATAGCCTTAAACTTCATACTAGAGCTAATACAAATTCAAATTTACGCATTTGAGTTCTGTTTAAATGTGACAGAACTCCTGAATGTGGCATAATGGTGATGTGCATTTGTCCATTTCTTAACCAGTAGAAATCTCATCTCACAGTTAAGTCCCTTCCCTGTTGGCTCTTTTAATTTAGGAATAGCTGTTTTCTGAATCTGCCTAAAATTTCCAAAGCCTCCCCATCATAAATGTTGTTGTAGTGCTTGATAAGGTGATGGCAAGAGAGGTTTGTAGGCCTTTCAGTGTTCTTGTCAGATAAAATACCTTTCAGTGTTTGTGGTGTGTTTTTTTTTTTCTAAAGTGTGGGTAATAGTAACTGAAAGCTTGAAAAACTTACTAATGGACTGTTTATATTCTGTGTTATTATTCTTCATTGTTTTCCTTTGCTTTGGATTGAAACCAGCTTATTGCCATTAGTAAATGTCTGAGCGTGTTCTTCAACATGAGCGTTCAGCACTATGGTGGGGAGTCTGGGAGTTTCGTCTGATGGTCCTTTAAATGGTTTGGCTCACTTCTTAACTTCATGAGTTGGTGAGTGTTTCTGTAACATATGGCACTATAGGTTGAAAGTGGATGTTTACATCTGGTATGCATTGGAAGATTAAGGTAGAGAGGATGAAGTTTTGGACAAGTATGTGTTTTTTGGATGAAGGATAAAGTGAGAATACTTTTATTTCCTCTTAGATTTGAAACGTATCATTCCAGCAATGCCTTTGAAATTCTGCCAGTTTTGCCATCCGTAACATTTATGGGATTTTGGACTGAAACTGAATTAGAAAACTGTTTTTAGTGGTGGAGAAAAAGGTTAGTGTATGAAAATAGCTGGGCCTATTATTGACTGCATGTGGTCAGTGGTTTGGCTGAATGTAGGTGGCTCTCTTCCTGTCACTATTTTAAAGCATGTCTTTTTTTTTTTTTTTTTTTTTGAGATGAATATAAAACTCTTTAAAAATTAGACTGCCCTACTGTAGTTCTCTAGTGTAGCAGTCTTTTGCTATTTAGATGTCACTGTGCTTTTGCTATTCAGTCTTATAGTAAAACAAACATACAAAAACTTTCAGAAAGCTTACAGTTGCTGCTAAAATTGAAACTGCGAGAGGTCTGAAAAATGGCAGCTGTGCAAGCTGCAGTTTGTCAGTTTTCTTATGAGAGGATTCGTGTACTTTGTTGTTGATTCTTTATTGTAGTTAATGCTAGGTTTTTTTGCAGCAGACAGCAGCTCTTTGTAAGTGCACGCACAAACATTGAGTACTGTTTTTCTGAGAATTGCTAATAATTGCATTACATTTACCTTTTTTTTTTATCATGTTTCTAGTCTTAAAAGTAAAATTTTAGCAGTTTTTCCCAAAGTCAACTTAAGACTTGCTGTTTCTCCCATTGCATAGCAGACAGCTTGAAATTAACCCAGTGTTGTGTTTATTGCTTAGTATGTAGCACACAAGATGCTCAGGGAATAGTGGATTTTCTAGCTCCTGCTGCAGAGGGAGCTGAAGGGCACAGCAGATTCTCCTGAGCTTTAACAGTATCGTCCTATTTATTTTCTCTAAAAACAAACAAACAAAAAAAACAATAAATAACCAGTGGTAGGTCTGTAAATCATGCAGGTTGTTTTGACTGTGGATTGTGTAGGTTGCTTGCTGTTTCCAGCCTAGAAAATTCTGGTGAACCTTGTTTAGAAGTTACCAGATGTGAGAACTGATTTCATTCAGCTGAAGGTAAAGAAAATCTGGTTCTGCTGTGAATTATCATGAGAACTGTGAGAGCTCAGTGAGTTAGTTCCATTGCGGTGTCTACAAAGAAAGCAAAAGTTTCCCCATGTTTGGGGACAAACAGTGGATAGAATTACCTAATTTATAGAGTAACTGTAAAGGAGTCAGTACCTGATCAAGTAGCACACCAATGGAGCTGCTTAACGTGTTGCTCAGTCTGTCCTTAAAGGAGGGCACCCTGGTACCAAAGGCCAGAGGCAAGGAAATGATGGTGGTGCATGAGTGAGGCTACTTGGTTGGTTGCATCTCGCTGTCTTGGAAAATCTTCATTTGTTATCTGCAGTAGAAGGCCCACAGCGTTATATAAAATGCAAAGTAGACTACTTCTCCTAAAGATATTAACCAGATTGTTAAAATGCTGAGGGGAAAGCTTCTAGAAACTGTAGTTAATGCAATTATCACTTGTAGTTTACTGTAATATCTTCTTGCAACATGACAACTTAAGTAAGGTTGATACCGAAGTTGCATCCTTAGATGTTAAAATTATGTAATATTAATTTGAGCATGAATCTGGGGTCGTGCGAAAATCCCTTGGAAACTACAAGTTATGTAACAGAATTTATATTTTTTATTTTTTTGGCTTTGCTCTTGTTTACCCAGGTACTGCTTGGTGGTGTTAATAGTAATCAACGGTTTAGGAATGCACTGTATTGAGAGAGCTCACATTGCTGTTGCTTATCAGAAAGATCTTGAAGGACTGTGGTGATAGGGGTAATTAGCACTGTTTCTGAACGCGGATTCTTAGAACTGTATTTTCTGGAGAAAAAGAGGACAGCAAACAGCTGACCTTTGTTTTTGATTTAAGTGAGCATTTTTCTGGTCTTGCTTATGAAAACAATTACATTAACATATCTCAACACTTCCTCTTTGGATTGTAGAGGTTGGAGATCTGAGGGAGCTGCAAACACTGGATATTTCAACCAATCGCTTGATAACCTTACCTGAAAGGCTGCATATGTGCCTCTCACTGCAGTACTTGACTGCAGACCGGAACCACCTGTGGTATGTTCCCCGCCATCTGTGCCAGCTTCCAAGCCTCAATGAGCTCTCCATGGCTGGGAACCGCCTTGCATTTCTGCCTCTTGGTGAGTCACTGCTTTCACTGGGCTGGGGTGGGTTAGAGAATAGATGGGGAAACAAATTTGCTTCCTCTTCCTCCTCAAAAAAAAAAAAAAAAAAAGGCAGCAGGTGATTTTTCATCCATTCTGATCCCTTCAAACTCTGTACGGAGTATTACAGTGATCAAATTGTTGGAAAATACATTAATAAATGAAAAAAATGCAGGTTGAGGTTTCGTATTTGCTTTCGAGCCGTAGGTCATCTATCAAATCTGCTTTATTTTTAGCCATTTTCCCAGATGGGGGAAAAAGTTTAAATGATGTCTTGTTTAAATATAGTACTGAGTAATCTAAGTTCCACCACTTTAGGTAATGACATGCTTCTGTTTGCTGGATCTGGTATTTAAGTAAGATTCTTCAGCTAGAGTTGGAAACGTGCTGAGGAATCCCAGTAAATCCATATAAGTGACTTTTTTCATTGATAGGAATGTCAGTACTGAATAGTCTAGCTAAGATTTAGTTTGTGTGGTGTATAGGCATCCGTCAAAACTTTCACAGCAGACGCACAAGAAGAACTTCATCTGCTTTCTCTTCAACCCTTTCTAAGCTTGGAAGTGTAGAGGCAGGCCTTCATGAGCAGGAGGTGTGGTGACTGAGTGGTTTTGTGTTGTGGGAAGTCACTGTGACTGCAGGAAGGGTGGACTGCATATTTTGTCCATGAAAAGCGAGACATCTTCCATGTGTCGGTAGGCTAATCTCTGCTGAAATATAGATGTGCATGCAGATTTACTGTGCCAGCTCAATAGCCAGTAGTAGTTTTTTTTCTAGAATACTCTTAGAGGTTGGTTAATTAGATGCAGATGAAGTGACCATAATAACATTGAAAAGAAGATGAAAATGAAGGTGACTAAAAATGGGATGCTTTTATTTCTAAATTAATGAAACTGTGTGGGTTTAACTTAATTTTTTCAATACTAGCAACTCAGTCTTTAAAGCAGCTGATAGTCTGATTATTTTTTTTAACACCTTAGTTCATATTACTGACAAGTGCAAATAATGTCTCCAGACATGGTGTTTCAGTTATGTCCCAACATATGTCATTATATAAATGAGAAAACGAGTTCCAGGATGCATCATCCAGACTTCACAGTACCATCTGAAACAAGCAAAGTAGCGAGCCTCAGTTTGGCAAATATTCCTAGCTCCATTTCATGAGAGAGCAGTGGAATATTTTTAATTTTTCAAAAATAAGATGATGCTCAGTAAGAGAAGATGTGAAATATTTAAGGGTGGAAGTTTTCTCTGCCTCTGCTCTGGTAGCTTATCTAGGAGTGAGCTGTGACCTGCATGAGCCACAGATCTACTCACGTGTTTTAAGTTCAAAAGGAGGAAATAAATCTGTAATATAATGATACACCTTTTTTTTTTTTTTTCTTTATTTTTAGACTCAAATTCAAAACATTCTGAGGGAACTTTTAAAATAATGGGAAACATCAAAGACTGTCAATTGACCTTGTTCAGTAGTTCTTAATAGTGACTCACTGGTGAACATTTGGAGATAATTTGCTATCTGTGAATACGAAACTGAATCATAAATCCTAGAGTTCAGAGGAAAAGCAGCCCAGCATAAACGTAAATGCTTAATCCTTGGTGAAGAATCAGAAGGCTTCAGAGCAGTCGAGATGTGATGGCATCAAATAGAGTGCATTGAAAAGCACAATTAAATCTATTTTCTGCTGTATAGGAAAGTGTTTTCCTTGGTGTGCTGGACTACATGGAATGTTAGAGTATTACTGAAGTTAAGCCACAATTGGAGCGTATTTCTGTGAGCTGCACATGCTGGCTAATTTTTGTGTATTTATATCTAACTTCTCCATTAGTGGTGCCCATGGCCAGGGAGGATTAACAGTGAAAGATACTGCAGAAAAAAGAGAAGTGATATTTGAGCAGTAATCATCTTACAGTTGTTTTTCTGTGAGGGAGTTGAGTAGGAAGGCAGCCATCTTACACACCTCCAAAGAATGTTGTTGTTTTTTTTGCTTTTTTAAGAGGCACGTCTGTGGTAGAAGAAATGTTCATGCTTGGAACGTGTGGCTTAAAACTTTTTCAAGTGTGATTTACTTTATTTCATATGGTGGCTGACATGAAATGTGGCAAGGTACCCATTCTTCCCCAGCTAAATGTGTCCCTTGTTGCTGCCTGTACGGCTCCTGCTAGGCGTAGTGCAAGCTGGCATTTTCCTGTTCCTAGACTGATAGTGTCAGATGGATTCTGGCAGTAGCACTGTGACTGCACTGCTGGATAGATACTGTGCAGAATTTTGGCCTGTGCATTCTTCGAGGTGGTAACAGTCACACAGGAGCTTGAGGGCACGTGCATCTTAAGAAAAAAATTCTGATATTTTTCAGTTTTGCTGAATTCAGTAATAGCTTACACCACTCTGACTGTTCTAACTGGTAGGGAAACAAGCAGGTAGGTAAGTAATGCTGAGTTAGTCATTTGTTGTGCAGGATACATCTAATGTTTGGATATGCTGGTGTTTTTATTTTTCCACATTGTGTTGGTTTGTGTTCCAAGAAACAAGTGTGTGGATCTGAATGTTTGGGCCTTCCTGATGAATTTCTACAAATGCCCAAATCGGAGGTGTGTAAGCTGAGCTGGAAACTGCATTCTGGCCAGCTCTATGTAATTGCTTTTTATTTTCTTGTCACTGGCTTTTGTGCTGCCCAATAAGTGGTCTTAGGAATTCTGTTCTTGAATGGCAGATAGCACCTCCGATCCCTTTACATCAATCTCATAATCAAAATTACTCTTTGATAGAAAGCTAACTCGAAAATTTTTCCGCTAGCAAATGCTGCAATGCCTGAAAACAAATTCTGCTGGAAGCAGAAATTTGAATCTGATGACACTGCAAAAGTAAAATTGATTTATGCAATAGAGTACAAATATAATTAAAATAGGCCATAAATTCTGAAATATACTGACAGTTCAGGGGATGTTATGACAGCAAATACTCAGTGTTATATCACTTTATTAGGGGTTTATGTGCACATTTTGTTTAGAAAATGGGTCTAGTAATTATCAGTGCACAGTAAACAAAGGTCTTATTCTACCTCAGTATATACTGCTTTTGTGTCCTTGCCCTCGCAGTATGGTTAAAAGAGCATCAGTGCAGACACACAAGAGCTTTTGTTCCATCTTCAGCCATGTGGAATGCATATGCCAGGGCCCTGAGGTTAAGACAAGAAAAAAAAAAATAAAGGAAAAAAAATAGAATTGGGGTTTGTTCAGGACTCATGGCACTGGGTCATTTCTGGGAGAGATGTCTTTGATCTGGGAGCCTGGAAGGAGGAAAGTGGAAGTGTTTTAGACAGTACAGTGCTTGCAAAAGCCACATAAAAACCTTCTTTGTAGCCTTAGCCTTTTCATAGATGGACAGCTTCCTTATTTTACCAAGTTCTTGCAGACTGTTTTCTAGAGGATTTTTAACAATATTGGTTGACTGATAAAAGACATAAAGATTAGTGGAGATGAGATGGGATACAAAGAGCTTTTTAAAGTGATGTTTTATTTAAATTTAAGCTTTGTGGATAGTGTTTGAGACTTGAAAAAACATCTTTTGGGGACTGGAAAATGCTTGGTTATTTAATGCGAAGAAACTATATCAAAGGAACACTTCTAGTTAAAGGCTATTTGGCTTTGGGAATAGAATTTTTCCTACTGAGATATTCTGTCTAACGTCCAAAAATTTGCTTTAATTACCTAGGAAATGCAGTCAGCTTAGAACTTAGAATCTAAACATAGCATAAGATAAAGACGGAGGAAAGAGATGAGATGCAGCCTAAGTCCCCACCCCTAAATGCGTATGAAAAGAACAGCTTTAGGGCTTTTTTTGACTTGCTTGATTTCCAGCCCATTTGCATACATCTGTGTGGAAATGAGCAAGATGAGCCCTCTTTTAAAATTTTCTTCCATTCTCTAAATTAATGAGTTAAACAGTATCACGTTCAAGCTGCCCCAGCAACCTGTAGTTTTCTGCTCTTCTTCACCAGATTGGTCTCTGCAGCATGAGGCTCCCTCAGCTTTCAGTGGCCCGTGCTGTTTGTGTTCAGTTTTACTGAGTAATTCTCTTCCACCATGACAGTACTTTGCGGTGTTAGTTCTTTGGTACTGCAGTATTTTCCTTCATTGTAGGATAGTGATGTTTTTGTTTCATCTAAAAATACCCCAGAACTTTGTTAAACTATTTTCAGCCCTGCCATACTGAGGCAAAATACCCCATCTTTTTTGAGGTGTTAACTCTTAACAGTGCGCAGCAGCATCGCACAGCGGTGCTAATCAGTCAGCAGAGGTATTTGTACTTCTTTCTTAGGGCAGGACAGTCGACAGGTGCAGGAGATAGTTCTTGGAACTAGAGCATCTTTGGGATGGGGTCAAAGAAGCACATGATGGGTAAAAATGTTCCCTGATGTCCAGTTACTCTGATTTGAGCAAAGCCCCAGTTATGGTTCCTGAAACCTGTTGCAAAACCTCTGTAGAGTGCAGTGTAAGAGCCTATATTAAAAGAAACAGAAGTCAAGTTTTCTATGTTAATGTTCTCAGAAACAGAACATACTAGTTTTCTGTGGGTATCAGTTCTTCTTCCTTAGACTGAAGATTTGATGATGTGGCACTCTTTGAAGCTCCTCAGCTCAAGCCTTTAAGGTTTCTGATACTTACAGCTGCTAGTCAAGTGGGTGACAGCTGAAGACATTTGGTGTATTTTAAGATGGCCAAGTGTTTGGGGAAATCGTTTCAGATGTCATTTGCTTTATGTCTGTAAGGTGGTACCCAAAGCTCTAAGTGAAAGTGAAACTGTTCTGTGATAAAAATGGGCTTGTATTACTTAGTACGGTAAGGAACGACGATGAAAGATCACTATTGCAAACAGAATAGCTGAACAGAGATATCGTGTATGAAAATGGCTTAAATTTTTCTTCTGATCTTGGCTGCTGTTTCAAAAGGGGCGGAAGCTATATTCATTTTTATTTCTTGCTAATCAAGGTAATTGCCAGTTGGCAAAGATGGGAAGTCGAATGAGTCGATGCTACTAGAGCTTTCAGTATAGCTGATTCAGCTACAAGGCTTGTTTATCTTGCTTCGTTTCTATAACGTGCTCATGAAAGTTTGAGAAGTCGAGAAATACACACATGGCTTTTTGTAATGAAGTTTGTTTGGGTTGCAGTTATCTCCTCCATAGCACAAACGCTCTCAGATGTTTGACACCTTCTTGCTTGGTCTGTGTTTAAATGTCTTTAAATTGTCTCTTCCTAACCTGGTGCGCTGAATGGCATAGTAGCTACAGATGAAATGGACTGCCAAGATGATCCTACGTGTCAGCTTTAACAGTTCAAAACTCTTCATAAAAAAAAAAAAAGCTATTCCTCTTACTTTGGTTTTTCACTTCTTTTGATAGCAGGCTGAATGGACCTTGCTGATAAGAAAAACTATTCCTTCTGAGAATTATTCCTAGAAACCTAAATTTTCTCCTTTTGCTGTTTTTCCACTTTGGCTTGCTAAACAAGAGTAAAATCATTCCATATCTATATGGTTAAATCTGGGAGTATTAACATACTTATAGTTCATGAAAGTACTGCTTAAATATGGCCTGCTTGCTTCTTTTGACTGCCAGCCATGAATATTTTAACAGAAATAATAAGAAGCTCATATTCAGATGTATTGATTGTTTATTTATAACCACAACTTCTGCTTTATAATATTCTGCAATTTAATGCCGGTGTATTTCCCTGTGTTCTGTAATTTGACATATCTCATGGACTTCTGAATGATCACTGTTACGTTAAACAAGTTTCTCGGAGAGAAGAAAGAGTGGGACATGCCACGTTTATGTTTTTTTCTTCACCACTTCGCAGATAATAAGGCTGTGATTTTGGTGGTGCAAATGTTAATGAAAGGAGATTTGACCTTATGCAATATAGAGTCACAGAACAGCTTAGGCTGGAGGGGGGGATGTTAGAGATGATCCAGTTCCAACCCCTGCTATGGGCAGGGTTGCCAACCTCTTTTAGATCAGCCTGCCCATCCAGCCTGGCTTTGAGCCCCTCCAGAGGGGCATCTGCGACCTCTCTGTGCAACCTGTTCCAGTGCCTCACCACCCTCTGAGCTGAAACAACAACAAAAAAGCAAAAGTATATGCTGTAGGATTCCAAATGGATTGTCACTTTTCTTCTTCTACCTCACTTGGAGTTTGTCAGAAAAAAGTTTTAAATGGGATTTTCTGATCTGTGGAAAAGAGCTTTATTATGGATCATTTGAAAAAAAATTAGTTGGAAATAGCATTTAAAATTATTAAAATAACTTGCTCAAATATTTATAATTGGGAAGTACTAATTTGTTTGCTGCCATTGAATTTGATTTCTTATTTATAATTAAAAGGAATCACTTAGCTCAGAATTGTCAGTCGTCCCTTCTCCCCCTTACTTTTTCTCTTGTTTTCTAAACCCAGATTTAGGTCGTTCGCGGGAGCTACAATATGTTTATGTGGATAACAACATTCATCTCAAAGGCCTTCCATCTTTTCTGTATAATAAAGTCATTGGTTGCAGCGGGTAGGTGTGAATTAAATCAATGTTTTGCAAATGTGTTCCGTTGAAAATTTCTCATAAATATGTGCCTATGTGATACAACTGGGTTTTTTTGTGATAGATTCAGAATTAATGTCAGTTTAAGGAGGATTACTGCAGCTGCCAGCTCTTCTGCTTTTGCAACAAATCTTCTATTAATTGCTGACTTTCAGTATTTTCATGTTAAGCCACAAGTCATTGCAGTTATTCCAAAGGAGTTTATAATGATAATGTAAGTCCCAAAGCTGAATGCTAACAGCATTTAAAGATGGCCAGAACTGTAAGCTTTGCAAAATCTGCATAACTGAAGAATGCACAAACTGTTTCTTCATGTTTTGCACCATACATCCAGTTCATAAGTTTTCCCATTTCTCTAAATTTTGGGCTGTATCTCAGAATGCCACATGCAGCTTTGCTCATTTTTGTGTCCCAGTATCAGCTTCTCCTAAGTCCTGCTACCTACTAACTGAAGCAGTTTTTTTCTAAGGAATTGTGGATTGACAGATATATTTTTAAGTGTGCATTTTAAAAATATCCTAGGTTGTCTCATGTTTGTGGTTAGGATGTGAGGAAAAAGTGGTCTGACGAGGACAGTGGCTTAATTCTATCTGCACTGACACTAGCATAAATTAGGATCAGCACCACTGAAATGAATGGAGCCTTACTGGTATAACACTGATCAGAGGAGGATTGTCCTCATTACCATCTAATTATAAATTTCTGGTATGCTTGCTCTCAGCAGATCTTATATTAAATATAAATTCCCCCTTTACAGCCTTTGCTCTATTGCAATATGTGAGATGCTGAGTCTTGGCATTTTAAGGTTTTCCTAATATTCATGTCAGCTGGTTGTGTGATATTTAAATACTTGCAGTTGCATGAAACTTGTGCAGTCTCAAACTGACTGATTTTTCAGGGAAAATTATTTCTAGCCTTCGCTTTTTCAGAACTAATAATAATAATAAATGGTAAGAAAGACATTAAATGCCCAACAGGTAATAGAATTGTATTGATTGTGACCAAAACACTAATGATTATGCAGAAAATGTTCAAGCAAGTGTGGTCCAACTATCCTGTCCTTGTTCTTTATTTTACACTTAGGAAAACTTTTTTAATCTTTGCACTGATCTTTGTAACAATTCAGTTTTCATAAGACATGATAATTTTAAAAAATCTGCTGTTCTTAATAGAGTATCCAAAGCACGGAACTGATTTCCAATACCCAAATAAGTATGTGCATTTGTGTACCAATCAGATACCTGTCTCCATGTTGTAAAGCCATTCTATGTTCCTTCTAAGAAAGTATGAGTAACCAATGCAAATTTTTCAGAGGTCAGGCAAAATGTTTGACGTTCCAGGCTTTAGTATTCCAGTCATCCACAGGACAGCTAAATCTGCCATGCTGCTGTTACTGATATAAAGCTAGATTTCTGAAAACAGGACATATATTGCATCGTCTAAGTAGTGAATCTCTGTCTGGAGAAAGTCTTTTATGTAAGAGGTAAGGATCTCAGTACTCAGATCGTAGTTTTTGCAGGTAGGATTTCATACTTTCCAGCTAGCTGTCTGTCACTCCTGTTCAAAGTAGCCAATGAGTGATCATAGTTTTTTCCTCACTGTGGTTTATTCTACAGGGCTCTCCTGCAGCTCCAGTTTTTTTTCCAGCTGGATGGACCATTTTTCCCCTTTTCCCCCTGCTTTTTAAACTACTTTTGTTGGTTTTTAAATTTTTCTTCTTGCACCCAGTTTTACTCACAGGTTCTGATTCTTTCCCTAACATGGCCAAACGTAAGGATGCATCCCTTAAATTATTCCTCTTGATACTCTGTTTTGCATGCTTGCTTTGTGTGCTGCAGCGGGCATTCATATCTTCACCCTTTATGCAGAGTGAGCCAGATAGTCCAATTCTTAGTTACAGAAGCTGCAGTGAGGTTATGGGGTTTGTCTTCTATATAGTTGGTATAGGATTGATAAGCTTAAAAATATAGCAGTTTGATTGGTGCTGATGGCTAATTCTTTGGGTATTGATTGTTGGAGAATGAATTGTTGGAATATTGGACCTTTGAATTCTAGATTCTACTTTACCTCTGTTAAAGCTCTGTGGGGAAGTATTAAATATTAAGAAAGAGGCTTATTGACTTGATTCTTGATGCTGCTCTTCTTTGCTTATTTCTCAGAGGTATTTTTTCTTTAATCGGGGAGGATGAGATTGTTCCTTATCAGAGAAGTTTTACCACATTTCTTTCACATCTGATAAGGATGAAAGCAGCTACCTCAGGTTTAGGTCCAGTATCTGGGAAGGCTGACAGATTTGCATCATGTTCTATTTGTTAGGACTGGCCCTAATGAGTTGCACTTGGCTTCAAATTTAAGTTGTCACAAACAATTTAAGTTCCCTTGTTGATTTCCCCAACTTCTTAGTAGAATTTTCTTATGCCTGTCTCTTTGGCATGATAACTTGCAACAGGGATCACATAAAGAACTGTTATTCTAATACAGGCTGAATTTCCTTGGATCCCAGCAACCTTCCTTTTTCTTACTACAGTTCGAAAAGGACAAAGTTAGTCCTTGAAAAAGGATCTTACAGTCTGAGCTGAGGTTTTATTTGGTTTTTGTTTTTCGAAGGGACTCTGTGGGTAGGGAAGGGTATGGGAAATAATCACTGAGTAGTAATCACACTTCTTTGTAGCTCACATGCATGCCTCATAGACAGTAGTTGAGTCCTATTATCATTCTCAAGTGGTTGATCCAACATAAGGGAAATGAATTATTGAGTATTGGATTGCTCCCGTATTTTAAGTTTTGAGTAATATTTAGCATTTGGAGACTAAACAAGAGTAACATCTGTTACTTTGGTAGTGCACTTGGCTCGCCCCCTTGGGACTGTGCACTCATTTCTCTAGCTTTTGGAAGTTATTTGATTAATGCAGACCTCTAGATGTCTTGTGACATGTCATCAAAGGTTGGATATCATAAGAAAACGTGTGTCCTTGCGTACTGCATTCTGCAGTGAGTCCATGAATGGTGCTGCTCTAAAGAACAGTATTAAGTGTGCTTGGGGGTTGGTAATTTGGGTTTCCCCATGAAGTTAACTTAATTTTTCCTAACCGCTTCTTAAATGTCTTGTGTCTTTCTAGCTGTGGTTCTCCAATTCAAGTTTCAGAGGTGAAACTGCTCTCTTTTTCATCGGGACAGTTAACTGTGTTCCTGCCAGCAGAGGTGAAATCTATAGGGACAGAAACAGATCATGTGCTGCCTTTGCAAGAATTGGCTATGAGGACCCTCTATAACACTTACTACGTGTATTTAAAAGGTAAGAATCTTTGTGTTCTTCAGATTTTGGATGCCCTATCACTGAAGTGTTCAAGGAGCAGTTAGATGGGCCTTTCAGCAGCCTGTGGTGTCTCTACCCAGGGCAGTGGGGTTGAAACTAAATGATCTTCATGGTCTCTTCTAACCCAAGCCATTCTAGGATTACAGAAAGAGTGGAAGTGCATTTCTGGTAATGATAGTGACACTTGACGTGGCTTCTCAAAGAGCAGGACAAAGATGAATATTTTAAAAGATTTATTTAATCCAAGTCTCTTTGAAATGCTGTGTTACAAGAAAAAATAAAAAAAAAGGGATCCAAAGACTGTTTCTAAAGTTGAGTGACACTTAGAAATAGTTCCTTGAGGACTGTACTAAGAAGGATGCTTTTTGGAGGAGGAACTCTTTAATGGAAATAGGGAATGAGAAATACAGTTCCTAAGGCAAGATTAGATGCATCAGCCAACAATGCAGCTTCTTGCCAGGCAGCACACTCCTAAACTGGCAGGCTTGTGATACATAAGGCAAAAGAAACACAAGCAGCCGTTGGCCATTTCAGTACAGTGTGACAGCTGAGCTGTTTTAGTTCTGCCCCAGTTCAGGCTCTGCTGTAAACTGGCCCTTGGCTGATCTGGTTATGCATCATGCAGTCACGTGAGTTAGCAATATCAGAATATCTGCAGATTCAGATTTTGAGATTTGGATGTACTGTCTTGCCTGTTAATCTTGGGAGAAGGCAGAAGGGTGGAGAGTTAATGTGGGAATACTAAAGAGAAACAGGAAATGTCTGTGCTTTGTGGAGATTGCATTAACTGATCCAGAGAACAATTTAATTGATGAGTATAGGATTGTCTCTGTTCTGAATTTCTACATACGGAAGGGAGATTAGAGGTTTTAGTTGTTTGGTGATTTCAGGGGGTGCAGCTAAATATGTGACTGCTGCTAGGTAAGTGTGACAGAAATGAGTGGACTGCTTTTCTGTAGTCTTTCCTTGACTAGGCTATGTTACTTTTTGTTTCTGATGCAAACGTACTATTTATCATGCTGTCATCTTCTAGCCTGCTACTGTGTTCATTGCTGACATTTTAGTTAAGTGATACTGATGTTCTTCTCAGAATTTGCTACTGTTGTTAATTTCTGAACACCTGTCTAGACCATCTTCATGTCCACAAATGCTTTATTGCATATTTTGTTACTTGCTTGAGCTGTGGTATTTTTCAACTGTATTTTTGGGACCCATTTCATGTTATGCCTATGGATGTTTGACTTGCACGTTCAGCTTTTTGAATTTACACATGGAAAGCACCATATACATTGCCTTAATTGGTGTAACTTCCTTTATGTTGCTGTTCTTTCAACGAAGTCTTAAGAAAACAACAGAGCTGGTTTTCTGAACTGTCCACGGAATGTACTTCTTATGTTGGACATTGTAATACAGTATTTTCTTACAAGTCTTTTTTATTTTTTTTTCTTTTTTAGATTTGAATTTTCTTACTCCAATCTCACTACCAAAAAGCCTCTTGGAATTGTTGCACTGTCCCTTGGGACACTGTCACCGATGTAGCCAGCCCATGTTTACCATTGTCTACCCAAAGCTCTTTCCCTTAAGGGAAACTCCAATGGCAGGATTGCATCAAGGGTAATTACACAGGAAATTACACTGGGGTTTCATTTAGAAAGAAAAACCTTATGGAAAAATGTGTCTCGTTTGTTTGTTTGTTTGTTTAGCAGCCTTTCAGATGTAAAGCCCCTGTCCAGCAATGGTTGGTAAATCTCTTAGAGGGAAACCAACATACTACTGTTGGGTTGTTTAATAAAGATTGCCTGTTTGATTCCCTCTAGATAGTGAAGATATGATGGGATTGATTTACCTGTGGTGATGCAACAACATGCATGTTGCCTTTGTGCCCTTGGAAGGAAATATGGCCTCATACCAATATTTAACTCTGCCCTCACTCAACAATGCCACCACCACGTGAAAGTGTCCCAGGACTAAAAACAGGGAAAAGCTCTAAAGCCAGAACTTAAATAAATATTCTACAGTAAAATAATCTTTTTTAAAAAAAATTCTGTGCAAATTATTTTAAGATACACATTGGAAACTGCTGCATTGAAAAGGATGGCTTGCTCTAAAATGTTTGTTAAAAGTATCTTAGTTCATCATCAGAGCAGTTGTGAATGTATGTGCAGGATTTGCAAGTCAGGCAGACAAGCCCATGCACACTTCCTGCCTTGCTGGGCAGTAGTCATAGGAGAGACGACCCCTGTGATTCAGAGTACTGCCCTCATGTAGATTAAGGTTTGAAGTGCTTTTAAGATGATAATACCTTAAAACTGATTGTTTTGCAGTGATTTTTAAGGCAAGTTTACTAATCTGTGTTCCACTACTCTGAGTTTAGTCTTAAATTTATCAATACCAAGCTCAAATGTAGCATTTCTCGTGCTTTTTGCTCATGGGCATTATTTTCCCTCTGTCCTACTCAACTGTGCCCTCTGCTCTTTTGAGAAGGATATGGCAGAGAAGAATTGTCTCGCTCTATAGAAGTGGTATGTGCTTGAAACTTCACACAGTGTGCACCCAGCATTGTTAGATGTAAGCCTGTGGTAAAGATACCTTTACCACACCTCCTTGATCCTGACTGCAAAGGCACCAAGCGGCAACATCTCCTTGTCTCCAAGACTCCAGGATAGGGCTACAAAGATTGGGTCCATGGGAGGAAATGCAGAATTCTGTCAGGATCTTAAAGCTCTACATTATGAACACTGCTTGTATTCATAGCTTGTGTAACTCAGACTAAACTACAGTACTGTTTGAAAACTAACTTGGTATAAAGAAATGTTACTCAGTGGTAAACAAGCAAATAAGCTGTTCAGATTCTTTTAGAAAATCCATGTCAAATCATTGCTTAGACAACAACTACTTGTCCTGCTGAAATCCACTGAGTTGCTGCTTGTGTTCCATAAAAATAAGAAACTTCTTTTCAATAGAAATTTATTATATTAAAAAAAAAAAAAAGTTGTTTCAGGTCAATGGTGCCTATTTCTCACAGCTATATCACAGGTTATTTTCTTGTGAGTTTGTGGCATAATAAATATCTGATTTGTCAGTGATTCAAGTATATGAAAAGAAAACGACTTAGGTATGCCAAATCTGAGCAGCAGCCAGAAGGCTGCATAGATGTTATTTTGGAAAAGCCATCTTTCTTAGAAAGATCCTCAGATTACAGAGATTGCATCCTGCATTCTGTTACAGAATGTTGAAATTCAATGGGTTTTATTTGCATTTAAATAAATTTCTTGCACATGGCCATCTTTGTATTCAAAGTGACATGAGATGTTATGATAATGCTGTAATTTCTTTCTGTCATTCAGCTCCATTAGAACAGTGTCACTTTCTACAAAAGTGATAGTAATCTACTCGCTGATCACTGCTTCCTTTTATTACCTGAAATAACCCAATAATGGGAGAATAGGCACCTCTGCTGTGTAATGAATTGTCTAGAGTTGCTCACTGTAGAACTTACTTAGGAAGCAGTAGGCACATTAGTAGGCACTGAGAGTTTTGGAATTATGAGTACGAAATTTGTGACTCAGCAAATGCATACTTTGTTTATTTTGGAAAAACAGTATTGACATTCTAGAATATGACTAGAAAATATTTCTGCATGGCTTTCACTTTTTTTTTTTTAAAAAAAAGTTATGTTAATTACCTTGTGACAGTTCTCATTTTCTCCCTTAAACATGAACATACTGTGTTCTACGAAAGGCATTAATAAGTAGAGTTTTGAGTAGCTGACATTTGAAGCAAAACCACAGAAAATGAGATCTAAGCAGGGTAGGCTGTCATCTCTGTAGCTTGTACATGACATGGAAAGATTATGTGGAAGTGCAGAGGTGTGATAGCTGGTTTAGTAAGATGTGAAGGACAGGGTTTTTGTTCTAAAGAGCTTACAGTGACCATGAAAACACACAGGATAAGGATCCTGAACGTTTGAACAGCACTGATTAGCACGTGCCACGTCCATGCCAGTATCTTCTGTCTGGATTTCTGTGTCGCGCTCTGTATCCTCTTACAGGAAGGGAAGGGATAGCTAAGTGTTGAACTGTATTTCTATCTCTAAAAAAGCACAGATGACGTTTAGCACTGGCTGGAGTGCGATTTCTGGGTTAGTGAAAATCAGATCTTAGCATTATTCAAGTGGACATCTAGGCCCCTGCCAGGAGAGGGGCAGGAGGAGGGTCACAGCGAGGCTGGTGTCACCCTTTCATGTCAACCCCTGCTGTCGCAGTGTGACAGCACTGCCTGTCCATCATCCTTGCTGAAGGTCTGGGCCCACTTTGTTCTCTCAGCTGGATCCAAGGACACTGGACTTCAGTCATTTCATGCCTGCAAGCAGTAATTTAAGAAACACATGAGCGAAGCTGAACCAAAGAATTACCCAGCTATTTTCCTTTCAGCTGTTAAACCTACTGGCTATAACATGCAGCCACACCCTCTGCAGAAGGAAAAACCACATGCAGTTTCTTTAGACTGAGCACATAAGAAACCAGGGAGGTTTTTGAGAACCCCTGCAGTGTTTCCCTGCCTTTGTATTAGGCACTCAGATGTATCAAGCGATTCTTTTTCTGAAGTGTTGAGATCAACTAATCCTGTGCTTTACAAACCAACATATTGTCTGCTGTGGAATGGGGCCAAAAGCTTAATCTTTATTGACAACTGTTCCCCCCCCCTTCTTTTTTTTTCCCCTAGGAGGACAACTGTTAGTTTTGTGGCATACTGCTGCTCCACCCAGTGTCTGCAGACTTTTGACCTACTGAGTTGATAAACATTTTAAACTACTCAGGAGTGCTGCCAGTTTAAAGCTGCGTTAGACGTCGTATCCCGTTGGTACTGGAATACAGTGTGTGTGCCAAAGCAGCAGAAGTGCCCGGTCGGGAACATTAAGAGGCACTTAAATCCTGCCCTATCAAATTTGGATGAAGTGCAGAAACTTTTTCGGAAGTGTAAATACCAAGTTTTTAAGAGCATTAACTTCTCTCAGCAGAGATAGCATACCAGACAAATTTTTGAGTTCTAAGTCCCTAGATTTGCAGTGTTTTTCAAACTGCTTTCGGTGGATCCACTGTGTCTTCTGGGGCAGTTTTCATGCCTCTAACAGTGTCCAGCCGATCTATAATTTAAAAACTATATGCCTGAATGGTTTTTGTTTATTGTTCCCATCTTTTACATTCTACAGTTGTATCCAGGTGTGTAAATCTAAGACTGTACGTGCTTTTGAAGGAACCCTGTGACTTTCACATAGAACTTGGTTTTATTTTTTCTCTCTCATCTCAATATTTTACCCCACAGAGTTATCCAAGTTTTATACTAAATCTTTAACAGGCAACCATGCTATTTAAATCCATGTATTTAAAGCAGATCTTTGCTTCTGGTATTACTGTGAGCCACACTTGCTCCACTGGAGGAGCTAGGGTATGTCTGGAGACTGAAGGTGCTGTTTGAGTAACAAAGGCCTATGCTGATATCTGCAGCAAGTGGTGTTGCTCTGGTGTTTGGTGACGTTGTCTTTATTTTCATCACTTCTATGCTGTATTTTTAATAAAAACAGTTTCCCTTTTGCTGCGTTCTGAATTCTTCAGGAAGAAGATATTAAGTACAAATTTCACTTGGAAGAAATAGTAATATAAATATTTATCCCTATTTACTCTATTTTGACACTTGCAGCCAGTAGACCTGCACAGAGCTGGTCTTCATTTCTCAAGGTTTTGCATTTGATTTGTGAGAGCTTCTCTGCAGTGTGTTAACCTTAGGGGAGGCTGGAGAAGGGGAGGGAGGGAAGTACGTTTGTATCTGAGGGTGGGGATACATGCATACCTACAGACACAGCAAAAGAGCTGTGATAAAATTTTTAGTGTATTATGTTCATATTAATTTCAAAGGACAAACAATGGGGAAAAAGGCCCCAAATGTCTGTGCAAACTAAGATTTTCTTTATGAACAAAGCAGTCTAAATAGTTTTCCCCTTTGGACTTGCTTTCACATATGTAAATTGTTAATGTATTTATTAAAAAAAAGTTAGAAGCTCTTTGTTGATCTAGCAGTGCTCCTGCTCCACTCTGTGCAGCAGATACACGCTGAAATAAATATGAATGAAAAAGTTATAAAAATGGCAAGATAAAGAAACTTACTTGGTAATGTAATAGCATATATTGTGATGAGGAGTGCATACTGTGCAGGGAGGAGGCACTGAAATGTTTTCTTTGTGCCAGAGAAGCATTTGTTCCTATTGCAGGTTTCCTGGCATCTCTTCTATAAACTGAGCATCTCGAGAGCACCAAAAAGACAGTTTTTGAGGGTGGAATTTTTAGGTTGTGCTTGCTACTTGTAAAAAGTATTGCTGGTTTTATTGGGATTTTTTTAGAGAGTTGAATTAGCATTAAGAAATGTAGAACTTAATCCTTCAGGAATGCAAGTATCATCTATTCATTAAGAATTGTGAAACCACCTAAAATAAATCCTGCTTAATAAATTTTCTTTGCAGTAGGGGAAAGAGCCGTGTCCAAACAGACTTTGTTACTACTGGATTTCTTACTGTGTCATTGGGCTAATTTTGTTTCAATGCTGGTATCCCCAGAAGGCCTTCCCACCCAGTGGGGTTTACCACTGAGGCAACAAAATTAATCTTCAGCTGTTTTTTCTTCAGAACTGCACATTTGAAATGTAAAGTATCCACAAATGGTATCTACCTGTATCAGAAGGGTGCAGATGTAGTACAGAAGCCAGTATTTTAATGGTTGGACATCTACAGTAGTGGTACAAAGACAAGTTTTTGGTGCAATTGTGTAATTGGGAATTTTTGCTGTTATTTTTACTGTGTCATCTTTTGTAATACTCGAAGGAGGTATTTGTTGGCAATTTGTTCTCTTTGTAGAAACTCGTGGGCTTTCAAACCAAGTATTTCTGAACTCAATCATAGATGAAATTTTATTTTAGAGTTAAATCTTTTGATCAACTGAAGAACACCAATGTTTGTTTGATTAGGAGTCAGGTTGTAAGAGTAGAGCTTGATTTTCATTTTTTTCTTCCCATAATCATTTTAAAATTTGTATCAGTCTATTATTGTCTGCAAGTGCAGTTCAGCAGAAGAAATTCCAGTCTGTTCTATAAGCAGGATGAATCTTAACTAACATTTTAATAGATGATATTTCAAGAATGGAATGTTCAATGAATAAATGACTTAAATATGCGATTGAAGCTGAAATGTCATATTCTATTTTTATGAAAAAAAGGAAGAGGAAAGCCAATATATAAACTGAAGATGCAGCTCAATTTCAAGTTTCTTTGATGTTTTTGATACAAACAGTGTTTGTATTCATCTGTATCTTTGGGTGATATTGTTCGAGATTAAAATAACTCCATTCTCACTAGTCCAAATTTTTCTAAAGTAGTTCTGTTGTAAGAGTACTTCAGCCAGTTAACAAGAGAGCCAGCTGTGCTCCGGGAGCTTGCTGCTGATTGAACTGCATCGCTGGATTTACAGTATGAGGTCAAATACTTTTGTGGCTTCTCTTTAAGGTGTTTATTTCTTGGTAATTTTTGATTCTCTTGTTGGTCAGGTCAGCTCACATCGAGATCGGTTTTTCCTTGCACTGCAAAAAATCTGGTTCCAGCAGTTAAAAGAAGACCCTTGTATGGAAGTCTTTTTTGTCATAAAAATAGGTCTTAAGTCTTATCTTACGGTGGGAGCAGGAGAAACTTGATTTTTCTAGACATAATAAGAAGTGAGGTGCAAGAGAGGAAAGAAAGATAACGTTGAGTTACAAATTTATTGCTGTAAAATTTTTCTGAGGGACATTTAACTCCTGTTGTGACCAAAGAGCACGTGTTTAAGTTTTGTTCATTATATCGAGCTGTGTTAATGAAATAGAGACCCTGCAGGGTTGTGCTTAAAGATGTGACTTCTTGTTCTACCACAAAGAGAGAGAAGGAGTCTCTGGCTTTGTTGAAAAGTACTTCTTGAGCGGTTGTACACTGGCCACTGTTACATTTGAAGCATTTTTGGGAACCTTCCTGCTACTGCTTCCTTGAGGGGATCAGCGATATCAGTGTCCTTTCCTGAGCGAAGAGCAAGCTGTTAAATCAGCAAGTGAGCCTTTTTCTGTTCCGGCCTGATGCTTCCCATCAGTTCTTACTGAAGTCCATCACAAACTTTCTGTTTATTTCATTGTGGTGATCTTGGGCTGAGCAGACTGGAGCTGCTTTTTTGCAATTGTTACAAATCAAATTCTCCTGAATTCCTTTTTCTGTTATGAAGGAGGATGAGCCTTGTGTAATACCTGTGTGGTAACAGCATGTGAGGTTTTACTGACAGCGCAGCCGAGCTGAAGACTGGAGGGTGCCAAACCTTTCACTAGAGAGAGTGACTTTTCAGGCCATTGTGGCCTCATTGGAGTACTACTGATAACAAAAGAACTTTTGCCTCGATGTCAGTGGAAGTTGGATCAAGCTCTAATTCATGAGAGAGAAGAATCTTTTACCATCTTTGTATTTCTTGCAAAAACTGGGACAGTGTCATTGAAGGCTGTGCCTACTGCTAGGCAAGCTGCCTGCAGCTGAAATTCTGTAATTCCAAGGTGTGATTATCTTTGTCTTTTACCTCTCTCCTAATCTCGTATTGTTGCAAAATGTTACGATTAGCTTGTGATGGAAGAGACTGAGTAAATTGAATCCAGAGCTTTTATTACTTTTTGTATTACCAACCAATTTTGGTGAAGCCTTCACTGTTTGTACTGTATGTCCGTCTTTGGTTTACAGCCTGAAGTTGGATTGCACCTGAGTTTATTCTGTGTTTGTTGAATGTGTGTTGCCTTTTTGCTCTGTGTTCACCAAGTGTCAGTCAGTGTGAAGGTGAGCTTGGTAGATGTTTTATTTAAAGTTAGTGGTGCAATTTATTGTACGTGCTTGTTAATAAATTATATTTTTTTATAAAATTACAGTTCATTAAAGTTAACTAAACTATTGCTCCTGGGGCTATTAAGCTATGTTAGCATTTAATTTACATCACAGCTAATTTGCATAGTAATTAGCTAATAACCCTTCCCAAGGCTGGAGAAGTGGGGTGTGGACACTTCAAAAGACCTAAAGCACCACTTCAGTTCACAAATCCCTTTGTCTCAGACAGTGTAGTTCACCAGATAATATGTGCAAAACCTGTTGGAGAACGAGACTTTAGGCCTTTCTGTGGATTGATCAAAAGAGTGCAGCGCAATTGGAAGTTATCTTTGTGTCACCCTAATGGTCCATAGATGTGGACATGGTTCATGTATTATTCACTAAGCAGTGTTCAGCAGGTTTTTTCCCCTCTTTAGAACAAGGTTGGATGCCAGGAATAAGCAGAAATTAAGCTTTTTTTTTTTTTTTTTTTTTTTTCCAGTTAGATCACTCCTTGCTGTGTGTTATTTGGTTTCAGTCAGAGCTGCAGCTCTGTATCTGTTCAGATGAGTTTTTTCACTTGGGTGTTCTGTGAATTGTTCTGGTGTCAGGTGTGTGCTAGGATATCCATTCTTAAATGAGATGCATCTGGTTCAGGGTGATGCTGAACATCTCTTAAAATTGATGTTTTGTAGGTTTGAGATGTAACCATGCTTGAAAGTTTACAATGATTTGCCTTCTTAGTACTTTACAAATGACAGAATGAGTTTTCCTACCCTTGTGATAGAGGTAGCCTCTATTTACCTGGCAGCAGGAGGATGATGCAAGTCTCCCTTAAGAGACATGAGGGAGAACAGCCTTAACCTATAACTTTTACCAACCACTGCTGTGTCCCTTGTGAATTAGAAAGAAACAAATGGGAGAGCTTAACATCCTTTTCCTTTGCAATTAAAAGTACTTGGCATAAATGCAAGCTAAGTGGAAACTTCAGTGGCTGAATAATGCTATTGTGTGCAGGAAATGAGAGGAGCTGTGGATCTTGCTTGGAAAGGCACTGGCTGTTTTGTCACTTTGAAGCCAAGATTTTGGGCTGTTCTGTGTGGTGACATTTTGGTAACTTGTGAACCACAAAGTCTGTGTCCCACAGATTCAGTGCTTGCTTAATGTTAAGGTACTGTCCTCTATTCTGCAGTGAAGAATCCAGCTAGTATTCTCTAGAGCTGGTTCAAGGGCCTGAGAGTGACCATTTATAACTATCAGATTTCTGCCTGCTACATCAGCAAGACAGAGTGAGAGCTGACCAAATATGTTCTTGATCGCTTGAGGTTTTAAATATTAAAACTCTCATAGCATGCTTTTTGTGTAGCAGTTATGCTCTTCCTGCTTCCAGGCGAAAGACCTTTTCGCTTCTGTGAGAGATCTTGAATCTTAAAAATGAAAGCAGTTCTGTTGTAAGTGGTAAAGTGATTTAAATTCCTGATGATGCCTTCCAAGCAGCAACCAAGGGCTGATTTCTCAGGTACCCTGATCTTCTGTATGTTCATGAGGGTTGCCAACACTGACCAGCTCTTTCTGTCAAGGAAAGATGTCAGTCATTGATGGCTGTTGTGTTACTAAATGCAACTACACCCATGGTACTACATCCACCACAGTCCCTTCAAGGTGTTCTGCTGTCATTTTCTTTGTTTC